ATGCTGAAGACCTATTCTACCCCGGATCTTCACGGGCCTACTTTTCAATGAATTGCAGTGCTATACTTTTCAATGAATTGAAAAACACTGCCATACTGAACTATGATGAATACAGTTCATCATCCTTATTATTACAAATACTTCAAAACGTAAGGTTCCTTTGGGATTCCGTATTAGACCTATTCTACCCCGGATCTTCAAGGGTCTATTAGTGTCTACTGGGACCCAGTCGGGCTGGCGCGTATACCGTTTATTGTGATATTTTAACATTTTCCTTTTCTTTCTTCTGTAACGAAAGATATTCTGATGATAGTTAACAAAAATGTATTCTAAATGCTGCTTTGTATAAACCTGTGAGGCATTATATGCATGTGCGTTTTGTCAATTATTATAACCTCTATTTTAACAAGTTCAACCCTACAACTGAAACACGTCAGTAAACCAACATTTTTTACACTGTTAAAAACTCAAAACGTCATACTGTGGTGCTTAGAATGTTACTTAAATCATCAAGGACTTCCCTGTAATTGACATAAACTTTGTGTTTTAAGTTATTTAGATGTTGCCACGTCATATTTCATAATTTCTTCTTCCAAATCAAGTGTTAATGATTAATTAACATCTTTACAAATAAACAAAATGAATATCTGATGAAACGTTGAAAGGATATTTACTGATTCGAATTAATAGTCGTCTAAGGCGCCGCAATTCGGTGTGCAGAGTTGCGTCCCTTGGCTAAGCCAGAAACCTATGATTGTGGGTTCAAATCCCGGTTCGCCCCGATTATGTTTCTAGGTTTGTCAGCACCATACCCGTGCTCGTGGGTTTCACCGAAATGGTAAACGTTTGAGACTTGCATCACTTCGGGCTTTCCTCCCACATTAAGTTGACACGCTATGATATAACTGGAATACTGTTAAAAGCGGCGTTAAGCACAGCTCACTCACTCAGTCTAAAGTATGGAGCAGGCCTTATTTAGTTCAGGGAGGCTATTTTACATGTAGGACCCCAAAACACTAAAACAGGTGTCGCGTGTAAGTTCAGTGACAAGGACACGACATAACTGTCAGTAATGACATTAAATGTTCTCATCCGTCACAGCCAGGTCACCTTGCGTCTTAGACGTCCCAAACTCGCTACGCTTGACAGGCTCAGCAGCTGATAGGATGGAATAAACACAACGATGATGAGGACGCGGTTATCTATAATACACCAAAATGGTGACGTCATCTGTCGCCATGTTGGCGTCAGTTGCGTATGTGGATTAATGCCATATGCCAACCTGTACAGCGAGGTATTGTGATGGCTCCATTAATTCTCCACAGCGACAAATGAATTAATCGGTACTTCAATGTAGAGGAAACTTTGACGAAAATCTCAAAAACCCATCCTCAAATATCAATATAGTTTTTAAATGTGACAATTCTCTTATTAATATTTTCTTAATAATTTGATAATATGACGGCAAGGTTTGACCAACGCAACATGAAAATATAATACACACACTGAGTTTTATCTTTTGAAGTATAATCGAGCATGCTCTTTCTACGAAGGTTTCAGACAGCGTTATACACTCTTGCTCAAAATTTGCTTGGTGAGGTTTGTAAAGTTTTCAACGGTTTATGGTTGGCAGCTGGAGGACATTTCCAAATGTGACGCATCAGTGACAAAAACGATGTCCAATGCAATTCCCTTATTTTCACGTGTACCACATGTTCCCGGTAAACAACTCACTTGCCTTTGCATGTGTTTGTGACGGAGCAGGCTACGATCACCTTTTCGCGAACACCCAGTATCATCACTATTTGATAGTGATTCAAACACACACAATAGAGCCGGAATCGTAAATCGACTCTGCTTCAGGCAGAGGTTGCTTATGACTATGAAAAGGTTTTGCGTTTTATTTCCTCTTAACAAGCTACGCTATCTGAACCACTTCACATTTAAAGTGACAAAAATACATCTAAACCATTATTTTGCTGTTATGAAGAGAAACTTGAGTTCACCAAGATCACATGGGAAACTCAGCCTTTAATAAACATAAGAAAGAGAATTTATGCATGTCAACTTCTTTATTATGAGGAAACACAACGTTTCGAAGTATATGCTTACTCCATTCACCTGATGAGAAATAATCATATACTCCGAAACGTTGTTTTTCCTCATAATAAAGTTGACATCCATAAATTCTCTTTCTTATGTGTATCACTTCTAAATGCCTTTCAAAGACTTCAGTGATACATGAGTACATACATTGGCATGCAAGCGCTTTCTAGGTGTCAAATCGTTTTCAACACCCAACAACATGGTTCGAGGTGAATGTGGGCGGTATCCATTATATCTTTATGCATGCAAAAGAGTTGTTGGTTATTGGATAAGGTTATTGAGTATGTCCGATTGTCGCTTTCCAAAGAAATGTTATTATGTGATGCTTCAGGCAGAAAGTAATGGTAAAATTAATTTGGTCTCAAAATGTAAATCTTTATTGTGCAATCTGGGTTTTGGCTCTGTATGGGAAAACCAGTGTATAAGTCATCCTCATTCGTTTTTATCAGAATTTATGTCGCGTCTGAAATGTAGTTATGAACAGGATTGGCATAGTCTTCTGGAAAAGGGTAGTAAATCTTTCTCTTATTCTCTATTCAAGGTATCGTTTGGTACAGAGTTGTATCTTAGCTGTGTGACCGTCAATAAATTGAGAGTGGCGCTTTCTCGGTTTAGATGTTTTTCGCATCACCTATGTGTTGAAACTGGAAGATACGCTAATATCCCACGTGACAGAAGACTATGTTGTGTTTGTAATGCTGGCTATGTGGAGGACGAGTATCATTTCTTGTTAGTTTGCTCCAGTTATAACAAGCTACGCGTGGATCACTTACCACAAAAATATTGTGAATATCCGACCAAACAAAAAATTAATATAATTATGTCTACAACTGATTGTAAATTAATTGAACGTCTAGCTATCTATGTCTATCAAGCGATGTCACTTCGTGGTACATTATTGTCACTACAATAACAGCTGTGTACATCACGTCCATTGTAATACAAATGTAACTATGGGCCGATGGCCTACACTTACGAAAAAAACGAATTGAACTGAGAAATGAGCTATATTTAAAATACAATGAACTATTTTGATAGGTGTAGACATAAAAACCATCTCTAGAGTGAAACCTTATTACTCCGGACACAGTTTTGTCGGATGATCTGGTTAAGAACGTCTATTAATGTACGAGTATCGTAACACCCTGCCGATGTGTGTCTCGTTAATTCGGTTGATTGTACTCGGAATATCAGGTTGTCACTGTGGACATTAAGGAGAAGAACGTCAATACTTTCATAACTGTATATCGCTGCAGAGCTTGCAATTGCTTTAAAGAAACGGGATTTCGAAATAGTGACGGATCAGTGTTAACAACTGATGACGTCTTCAATACAAAAATCCTCCCATTCTTCAGTCAAACATACTGGGAGGTCAACATTCGGATTTTTATATTGTTGAGAAACACATGGCTCATGGTTGCTTACACGACCCCACCGTCAGGACACTATATCTACTTCACATCAACACTTACATCGTCGACAACTACAAAGCATGCTTCATATACGTTGTTGCAACTTATTGCCAAGGAGAATATGACTTTGTTATTAACACCTCAAAATGTCATGCAACTTTTTTATGTTTGCTAACACAGAAGTGTATGGAATGTGTTTTTCGCCGAACACAAAATTGAGACTGTGGGTTTCATAATCAATTTAAGTTACACTTGCCTTTTATTTAAGCCGTTGTATGGTTGTGACTGATGGCTATTCCGAAGAAAGATAAAGACGGCGTATGAGTAACATAAAAAAGACGCCTTCACTGCTAAAAAACTAGTTTATATCGTTGACAGTAGTTTCTTCAGGATATTTTTTTTTTAAGATCTGTATAAATTAACTTATCACTGACACTTTCTGTGAACCAGTTGTGACCATTCCCTCTAGTTAACAATTAAGGATTCCTTATCAGAGACATCCAATCAAAAACACACAAAATGTGGAATAGCTAGCATTGCAGCTGTTTGACTTGAATCATACAAATTTGCGATGTTCTTCACATAAGGTCTTAATACTGGCGTACCCGTGTCATGTGTGTGTATATACGTGATACGTGATCTGTTTTCCCCGACAATAACTTGGTTCATTAGAACGGTATAATTATACAAGATCAAACGGGGTATAGCTGAACAAACAACATTTGCAACAAGGTGTATGTGCGTGTGCGTGCGTGTGTGCGTCATTTTGGAGGAAAAATTTCATGAAATTGTTTTCATTACATTAATTCCTGACTATTTCAGACTGAATCGGCAACTATGTACGTTTATGAAGGCATCTTCCTAATTTGTGTTGTAAAACGCTACAATAGCAAGAACTAATAATAATGATAATAATAATAATCCCTTTTTACAGCATTTTTTATTTTAAGCTGTAAATAATATTAATAATAATAATAACAATAATGATAAGCAAAGGCTCGTTTCAACAAATAATATTAACTTACAGATGTAAACAAAATATCACACTAGCTACAAACAACACTATCTAGAGTCCTGCCACGTCCATTGTTTTATCAACATACAGACCTTATTATCATATAACGTCATCGATGATGGCACAGAAGTAAGAGTATCATAAAAATAATTATAACAAGAGAAAGCAGTAACTGTAGAAGTTTATGCTCCTTAGCAAGGTCCACGCAAAACAGGGAAACAATAAAAGCTTTGATTGATGCGCAGGTTGCCGCACTTGAGTAATTAAGTCACTCTGACGTACAAGGATACATCTTGATTTATCATGTGAACAATCCGGAAACATGTAGGTCATGTGTGTCTACTGCAGCAATGGCGGCAGTGGATGACGTACCTGAGACACAGAGTTTGATTGACAGCTGTCACGTGACTACAGAGGCAGGGCACGAGCCGAGAGTATATAAGGAGACACTGGCCCAGTCTAAGCCAGCGACTGTGAACACCTCACGAACCGAGTTTCACACATCATCCTACCATGGGAAAGGTATATATCTATATCTGATTTATTTCTTAGAAATGGCTTATACCTTGAAATATATTTTAGATTGAACTCACTGAGAGCATTTATCTATGTGTAGAATTCATATATCTAAGTGAAATGAATATGTTATCTTCATTATATTCTTAATGTGTGATACCGTTACGTTAAAAGTAGCATTTTATCATTTAGAGTGAGTGAGTATGGTTTTACGCCGCTTTCAGCGATATTCCAGCAATATCACGGTGGTTATCATTTAGAAACGGCGGGCGATATTGTCATCAACACATTGAAATGTATATATTTATAACAACTATTCAAAAGGTAGTAATCCTCAATGTTTAAAGGTTATGGTTCAAATGGGCCGTTTATTCTAGAACCTTTTGGAAAAAAAGGGACATCACAGCAATAAAATATCCCTTTTACTATGACATAAGTATAAGGGTGCGCTGTACACTATACATAATATGGCCAATTATAAGATGTAGTTTTTTTGGCATTCAGTGTATATACAGCATCGCAGCGATAGTTTGCCTCGTCGCCATGACGACGGCCCTTCCCCCTCTCCCCACTCCCGCCTGCTATTCCAAGCAACTTTCGTCTGACCAAAGCTATGACCTCAGCTTTGTCTGCAATGACGGAAGACAATACCCCGAGTAAGTACATTTAGCAACGTAGCAAACAATTGACAGGACAGGTCGGTTTTATTTCGTTAGAAACGTCCTTTTTCGCTAGCGAAAATACCATTTGAATTTCCATATATATTAATTCAAATGAAAACGAGTCATATTTATACATAAGGCGTAAGTACCAATAAGTCAAAATGTCGATATATATTCATTTTGTATGACATACCACGTACGTTTGAGTCGAATGTATATGTTATAAGAGTTAATGTACCGTTAAGTCGAAGTGTCTGACATATTCACTTTGGACTATATAACATGTACCTCTAAGTGGCATAACCGACATGCGTTGATGCACCGTTAGGTCGAAATGTCTGACATTTTACTTTGTCTCCAGACAGGAGATCGAGGAGGCTCTGTACTACGCCGACGATCACTGGCGTATCTACCTCAACCTGACATCCACCTGCTTCCAGGACCAGGACACCTACTTCTTGAACAAACAGTAAGTGACAAATCCGGAATAATGAATCTGGATTAGGGAGTAATGTCCCTATAGTTAATTTAATCGTCCACGATAAGCACGTCTTGAAAACTGGTTCACCATCCACTATCAATGACTTTGATAATTCATGAGAAACATACTGATAAAATGTAGAAAGAGAACATTAAAATATTGTGGTCTAATGTTCATTGCTCTATACAGTGAAAAGCTCCATGTTAACAAAATAACGTTACTGTTAAATGTTGTACGTTGTGTATTTAGTTCAATGCTTGTTTTCCTGGTATCCATACGAATTATCATGCCAGATATTCACTTCCCCCTTTAGCCATTCCCGTAGTTCTTTCAATAAGTATATTTGAGACCATGACATGTACAAATGAATTGCTGGTGTTGGCGAATGTTACATTATTCAACATATATTGGCGAATGTTACAGTATTCAACATATATTGGCGAATGTTACAGTATTCAACATATATTGGCGAATGTTACAGTATTCAACATATATTGGCGAATGTTACAGTATTCAACATATATTGGCGAATGTTACAGTATTCAACATATATTGGCGAATGTTACATTATTCAACATATACTGGCGAATGTTCAATTTCAACATATATTGGCGAATGTTACATTATTCAACATATATTGGCGAATGTAACATTATTCAACATATATTCTGGAAACGTTATTTATTTGACCTTGACATTGCAGCTCTGAGCCCAACTACTACAAGTTGAAGAGCGTGTGCAACACCACTCGTACCATGGTGCACACCATCTATGCCATGGACGGTCAAGTCTGCCACGTTGTCCGCCCTATGTCCCAGAAAGTCTTCTACGCCACATGCGGGTAGGTACACAGCTATGTTATTTTAGAAAGTTCTTATATGTTACTAAAACTCATAAAGATGTATTAATGAAGAAGGTTTGATTCTAAAACATACAGACGCCGACAAAATCAAACAAATAATTCTTGGAGTAGTTTGAAATTGTTTTTATAAATTTTAGTATTCAAAGGAAGCTTAAGCGAATCAAAACCCTTTACGTATATTGTCCACATTCATATATACACATTTATTGTATAAAAATAAAGGTATAAAGGATAAAGAACTTTTGCGAAATAAAGGATTATCGACAGGGCAATAATGATAACAATCTACATATCGATACTTAATGACTTAAATATTACTTATTTACGTTATTAAATATGTATTGTTTGTTTTACAGAGGAGAATGTAACCTTGGTTACGACGGCGTGACCGGCTATCACTGCATTCAACGCGGCATCACCTACCGCAACTTCCTCGGTTACTGCCGTCTCCCCGACTCCGCAACCTTCCCAGAATCTTCCCCCATCTATGCTCTTGACCCCTCCGTCGACAACTTCTACGACCCCCGTGTTGCCCCACCCACCCACCGCATGCAGCACACCCCCCTCAAGAGCGGGGGCCACTACAAACCCAAGGGCTACTTCACGGAGTTGAGCGTTACCCTCCCAAGCTACTGCGGCTGCAGGGGATATTTCTGCCCCCACGACAGGATTCTTTAGATAATGACTACGTTCTTTAAGGCACTGGTACGATTTGAACCTGGACTAGTGGACCAATGAACCAAAGTAAAACCAATTTTTTATACAAGCATTTCATTTTTGATAAATGAAAACTATTTTTTAAGAACCAAAATACTTTACGATTTTTTAACAATCTTTTCAACGAATTGGAAATTGCAAGTGTTATTTTGTACACAGGTCACTTTTTTCAAATTATGCTTCTGTTAAACTTATAATTTTTTTGCACTTTTATACCACAATGTGATCTCGGTCTTAAGTTGGCAAATATGTTAATTGTAAATATTTTGCGAATTCCATGTAAATACATCCAACAGGATGTTGTGAATATGTATTTATATGTTCCATCTTTGTACAGTATAAACTGACATCATCATTACTTGTGCGCGCATGTATTTTATGTACAGATAATAATATGTGAAAATAAAAGCAACATGAAAATATGTACTGTTTCTGCTTTGATGATTATTGCTAATTTTGGCCAATGAAACATAAACATGACTATATCTGACTGATTTCACATTGGTCGAAGACACAAATGCATAATTAGAACTTAAGTGAAACTCCGTTAATACGGACCCGGTATTCCGGAATCACACTCCTCCGTCCGATCACTGTGGTGAGTGAACGTACGTACATACAGTTGCTCTTCTCAAGACAGTATGACAAGAGGGATGACTTCAACTTTCCAATAGTCAACTTTCAATTTGTGCCAAACGATATTCCTGCCGCTCCAGCCTTTGGTGTCTGCATTTCACAACTCTTTCGTTACAATCGAGCAGGTTCTTGCCACGAACATTTTAAAACAGCGTCACACGTCTCCATACTCCATACAGCTGTCTGATCTTGGTTACAGCAGTCAAAACCTCAGCAAAGCATTCAAAACGTTTTATATTAGATATGTGGAGGACATTTACCAATTTGAAGCACCAGTGACAAAGATGATGCCCGATGCAATTAATCTGTTTTGACTTGTACGATATGCTCCGTGTTGTTTTCAGGTGAACCGTTAACTTGCCTTTGCATGTGTTTATGACGGATGCCAGCGGTTTGGCAGGATACGCTCACCTTTTCCCGAACCTGGTATCGTTACTATTTGATAGTGATTCATAAACAGATGCTTTTGATGCAGTCGGGACCGTACAAAAGGACTCTCCTTTTAGTGAAGGATTTATGAAAATCTTTGTTTTTGTAACTATTTGATAATAGATTAAATCGGACATTTGTTCATCCAGATGATGGTACATATACTATTACTGTCCAGATAAACGGTGTCGTTGTATATAAAAAAATATTTACCATTGACAAAAATCTAACTGATTTATTAAAATATATCAACTCTGTAAAGACACGAATATTTTACCAACAATAACCAACCATCAGTTGCCTGTAAATATGCCAATCTAGAACACCTGAACTACACCAGTGGTAATTGTTCCGATATGATGGTGCTCTCAGATTGTAATTTTTCTTCTTTTCGTTATGAAATAATCCCCCACGTCGCTTGCAGCTTCCATGCTTCCACGTCTATAAGTTCATGACAAAACATCGACGATACCCTTCCAGACATTGTAGGGACCGCCTCCGTGGTCTAGTGGTAGAGCGTCCGCTCGGAGAGCGGGAGGTCCGGGGTTCGATCCCCGACCGCGTCAAACCAAAAGACGTTAAAAGATGATACTTGTTGTTAGGTTGTCTGGCGCTCGGCATTAAGGCGCTAAAACAAGGACTGGTCGGCACGGAGTCAAAAGTGTCTGCACTATAAATCGGCCTCAGCCCGGACTAGTATAAACAGTCACACACACACACATGCACGTCGCTATATAGGTGCAATAATTTTGGACGTGACGGTAAACCACATTTCACCTCACCCACCTTCAGACATTGTATCCATCGGACTCAAAGTCAATGATATTTATTGTATGTAAGGCCTCCGGCCCATATACAAAAGGGTTACAAATAAGTAGTTTTTACATATTTGGATATATACTCTATATATATACTTATTTCTGAGGGAAATTGCATTATTAACATATACAACCTATTTTAATATGACAGCATCTTCTTTTGAAAAAAGAAGAGAAAAAACAGGTACGGGATAATTTGACAGATAGCGTTCTCGTATAAACTGGTTTCTTAGATCACAATAATAAGGACATACAAAAGTAAAATAAATTAAATTTTATATAGCTGAATGACATAATGGGCATCACCTCTTCGACTTTTCTTCCTTCATTTATCATGAGATCTAACAATCCGAGCCTAAATTGAATAAAAAGACGTCGAAGGGTTTCATTCTTTCATTCAGTGCCACCTGACCCCTCTTCTATAATATGACAATATTTCTTTTATCATAGTTAACTGATTGATAATTTCCACTCTTTGGTGAAACATTCTAAAATGTTAAGCTGTTATTGTAGTCCAACAACAGAATTTGATACTAAAATGACATCATCGGCAAAAAGAAGCATCAAAATGTCCGTTACATCTGGGAACATGTGAAGACCAAGTTTACCCTTAGCCACAATTTCATAATATAATTCATTAATAAAAAATAAGAACAATATCGGGCTCAAGATACATCCTTGTCCTAAGCCAACAGGATAGTCAAAGAAGTACACATGATATATTATTTGAATACATAGCTTTTAATAAAGAGTACATTTCCCCCAGAAGACCAGTAGTTCTTAAACAGTACTATAGTTTATAACGATCAACGGAGTCAAAAGCTTATTTTTTTAAAAATCGACAAAGGCTACATACACTTTGTGCTTACGACGTGATAGACATTTTTGAATAATCGCATATAATGCGAATATACGATCTGAAGTTGAGTACTTTTTTCTAAAACCAGCTTGAGTTTCGGGAATTTTATCACGCATGTTAGCCAAATTCGTAATCCTAGAATTAAGTACTGATATAAAAATCTTTCCAAGAATACTCATTAAGGATATTCCCCTATAATTGTCCGGATTGTTTAAAAACTCCTTTCGTGTGTATTAGTATAATTACCGAACAAGACCAGCTTCTGGGAAATATACCACTGTCAAACATCCTATTGAAACATTTTTGACGAAAAGGCCTCATCTCAAATTTGGAACATTTTATCATATCAGTAACAATATGGTCAGGACCAGCAGCTTCCCACAGTTTAGATGCATTATAGCGTCCAGAATTTCATCCTGTGATAGGTGATTCTAAAATATGTTTGTCAACAACAGTATAACATGGAGAGGAAATATCCATAATATCGTCAAACCAACACTGTCAGTGTTGAAAACAGTGTAATTGGAAAAAAAAAACTTTCATAAAACGTATATGCCACTAAGCCTTTGAGATACTATCTATTCTATTTGTCTGCTTCTTAATGAACGTATTTGTTTCCAAAACTAAGAAGGAGAATGGATAGTATCACCATGTGTATTAGCCTAAATTTACACAAGTCATATTTATATTTCCTACAGCAGAATTTGTTGTGATTTCTCTTTTTGCAGTACATGTTTTTATTAGAGTCACTACGTCTACATCTAATTGTATAATTGTCGCAATTGTGTGAGTGAGGTTAACGCCGCTTAGAACCACGTTAATTCAGTAATATAACAACAAATCAGCTTAATATTGGAGGAAAGCCCCAAAGTAGCTGAGTGATGAAATGAAACCAACGGGCACGTCTGTAGTGTTGACAGACAAGAGAACAATAATAAATTAACTAGCTGTTCTCTTCACAGTATAAGCTTTGTCTGTTTGTTGTCTAACGCCGCACTCAGTAATAGTCAAACTATGTGACGGCGGTCTGGAAAAAATCGAGTCAAGACCGAAATTGGGATACGATGACATGCATCGACCAAGTCAGCGAGCCTGACCACCCGATCCCGTTAGTCGCCTCTTCCGACAGACATAGTCGCCTCTTACGACAAGCATGAGTTGCTGTCAGCGTACAGGCTGCTTTCAACGGGGAGCTCCCGTGTGCCTGATTAGGATGCCAGTATCTCATGCTTACAGTGCCTGCCGACTAAAATATGAGCTGGGTTCTTTTAGACTTTCCTCCATGTCGTGGATAAGCTGAATTTAGACACTGGTGTTTTGAATAGTTTTCGAGTTGTATACAGAGGCGATAAAAGCCTTTTCGTTATCACACGACATCTCTGCTAAAAACTGAGTCCATTATATGATTCCGACTACCTAGTTCATAAGAAACGTGTTTATAAATCACTGTGAAATTGTGATGAAAGGTCACTTAACACAGGCTACAGATGCTTACTTCTTAAAAGCAGCTATCAATTCATAAAGGGCTTGGTATTTTTTGTTTTATGTAATAAAATCACAGGACTCTTTACAGAAGTTTATTTAAATAAATTGCCTGTTTTGTGACGATTCCCAAAGGGACACCATGCTCCATTGTCTGTTGCCCATTTTCAATGACTGCAATAATATTAATGTGAGACATTGACACATTGTGTCTGTGTAATGAGAATAACTATTTGTTACTTGACTGATCGAAATAAAAAAACTTTAAAAAAAATGTGCAGATGGGTATTGCATATTGCTCTAATGCAATTTGGCCCAAATCTAAACTCGCGTTAGGTTCAACGAACTACCTGGAAAGAATTGACAACGAAACATTGGAGCCACATGTGCGTATGTGTGTGCGTATGCGTATGTGTATGTGTATGTGTACGTGAATGCGTATGTGCATGCGTATGTGAATGGGTATGTGTATACGTATGTGTATGTGTATGACTATGTGAATGCGTATGTGTATGCTAATGTGTACGTGAATGCGTATGTGTATGCGTATGTGTATGTGAATGGGTATGTGTATACGTATGTGTATGCGTATGCATATGTGTATGTGTATGTGAATGCGTATGTGTATTCGTATGTGTATGTGTATGTGTATGCGTGGGCTTCGGGAAGAACTGTGTCATTCTATGTTCTCTTGTGTCGAGTGATTCAATTTGTATGCATAATATCATCATTCTCTTTGAACTGATAGTTTTGAACACTTTGTAATTCTGGAACTTGATGTGTTGTTGTAAGAGATTTCGCTACATGTTTGGTATAACTTTGATACAGGGTTCTAAAATAGCTCACCCATAATATAGATTACAAGGGGGATTTATATGTCTTATTGTCATGGTTATACCCATATTATCAGTTACCAGTGAGTTAAATGACCCACTACATGCCAGAACGAGTGATGCATGTCAACGTATCCCTTTTGCGTAGTCCCACAACTCCCGCTGATACAGAGATATAGCACAACGAGGAAACGTTGTATTATCTTTAGCTAGCATCCCCATGGGCACCAACTGTGCTCCCATTCTTGCTGTCCTGTTTCTTAATGCATATGAGTCGGGATTTCTTTTCAGATTGGCAAAAGTCAAAACAAGGTAATTTGGCCAAGATGTTTAACCTGGGCTTCATGTGTATCGACGATCTGATAACGTTCAATAACTATCAAATAGTCAATTCACTTCCTCTGACGTACCCACCTGAACTACAAATTTAGGAGACCAGTGAGACCGCCTCATCTGTTTCATGTTTCAATCTATGGACAAAGAATCAGAGTGACAAAACACTCTCCACGAGACTGTATGACAAGAGGGATGACATCAACTTTCAATAAGTCAACTTTCCATTCATGTCAAGCAGCTCCACCCTTTGGTGTCTACAATTCATAACTTTTGAGATACAATCGAGCATACCAAGATTACAAACATCATCGTGCGACTTTTGCTCAGAAGTTGTTTGATCAAGGTTACAACATCCAAGGCTCCAAGCTTACAAAGGTTTATGGTAGACATGAGGAGGACATTTCCAAATGTGACGCATCGGTTGATAAAAACATGACGTCCGATGCTTTTATTTATTTTGAACAGGGATGTTGGTGGATGTCAATGTTCAGTTAGCCATGTGACGTAACATGGAAAGTCTACTTGTTCATATTGTTTTTGTCACAACTAGGCAAACAACAAGTTTGCTTTCGGTTTGTTTTATATTCATTTTGTATAAACCATTCACAATAAAAAACACCGAAAAAGAGTGAGTGAGTGAGTATGGTTTTACGCCGCTTTTAGCACTATTCCAGCCATATCACGGCGGGGGACCCCAGAAATGGGCTTAACACATTACACCATAAAAGAAAATACACAAGTATTATTCAGAGAGATTTATTATTACACAAAGTTGGCAACACAACAAAATGTACACGTTATGTACAATATAAACAAACTATTTACATGTGCGAGCATGATATATTTACAATGATAATATATAATGTCACAAATACTTCAAAATCAATACGATTAAAAGCATTTTTGTAAGGTCGAAATAAACAAAGTTCACAAAACATTGTCCTTCTTGTTCTCAAGTGTTCCTAACATAAACGAATAAATGTTTGTATTCGGCATGACGCTGAGTCCCACTATTACACATGCGTAAAAGTACGACTTCGCAGAGGGAGTGTAAACCATGGTTTACACAAACTGATACTTGAGACATTCGTATTTCTTACAGCTGCATCCGGTGGGGATGGTGACGCGGGTTCTGCGGCACTGCTTGATCTCGCCGGGACAGAAGACGTAGATATCACGTTCAACCATGCCGTCGGGGACGCAGTAGTGGTGTTTCACCTCCGTGGTGTCCATGACGCAGTGACCTCTGGAGAAAAGAGATGATGGTGAATATTGTGTAATAATACTTTTTTGTACAAGCCTCAAATGTAATACCGACGTGTACATTATAAAAAGACCTTTTAACATTTTTGAATTGTGCGACTCAGAATCAGACCAAACGTAAATTGAAGACGTATGTTGCGCATATTGTTTATTAATACCTCTTATTCCCAAAATTAGAAACATAAGACCCATGTTACTTACAAACCCCAAACCACCATGAACTTGAAGGAAATCGTTTATCATGAATACTAGCATATGAAAGCTGGACATGTTTGGTCAAGCTAATCGTGTGACGTACCCGCATTGAGCGACTTCAATTCCCTGGGCTTCAGGCATGATGACGTAGCAGACCTCTCGGCGCCCGTTCGCGGTGTTGGTCCACCAGATTCTCTCCAGAAGCTCGGTGTTCTCGGAACACAGATCCTTGTAGCGGTAGGCGGGGTAGTGGCTGGAATATACCACAAGCATGGTTTAAACAGCTGTAGTGCAATAATTATAGCATTGCGTTCTTGAAGAAATGTCTGTGCGGCTGGAGTTTAATGCCGCGTTTCAGCAATACTCCAACCTACGGTGGAGTGAACCAGGCATGGGATTGACACAGTCGAACTTGGTTTCTGAGAGTGAGTGAACGTTTAACAACAAGTCTACTCCATCGTCCATTATACAATTGAGTCGTGTGAAACATGGAGATGACATCACTGATCCGTTTGTCTCGTCATATAAATTGATAATATTGTCACATCATAAACAAGGTAAAAGACTGTTTTACATAGGTAAATTATTTTTTTAATGTAATAATGACAACTCATGGTATGACACATGTGATAGTACTCGAGTGATTTAGTAGGACACAAGATCAAATTGAGTTGGGTGAGTCAGTGCGCTGAGTTTTGGAAAGCCACAGGTAACCTTCTAACATGTGTAAAAGTGACCTTCACCTGAGTGAGTCAGTTCCCTATTGAACAGTATATCAGATATATTGCGACGGGACAGCTTAATATGGGAGGGTAGCTCGAAGTGACGATGAAACGGGTGATGACTAGTAGCTTGGGTGGATCATTTGTACCTACCCGGTGGAGTTCATCTTGTTGTGGAGGTAGCATCCCTGCACCAGCAGCATGTACTCCATTGCGTCGGGGTCCTGTTCCAGGGCGCTGAACACACGGTCACTGGAACAACCACGTTAACATCATTGTCAGCCTTCTCATACACTATGGTGTACAGACAACAGTAGAACTTACAGTGTGAACACACGGTCATTGGAACAACTAATAACGCATCTTTGCAATTTCACAACATAGCTTCTTAAAATTACAAAAGACGCGGGGGACAGAACCCGAGCCATACAGATGACAAGCGATGACATTTACAACTTGGCCATCCCGCCCTACTGCCTGAACTAATTTACAACATAAATGAATATAAAGCATACTTCGGATAAATATAAATAATATAAAATAATTATTTACCTGTTTGTTGTTTTCCTCAAATATTTATGCATACATTTTAAGGGAAACACAACATCAAAGCATATTTCTAGATAAAATACATACACAGGGTATTTGTAGGACTTGTCGAAGCACAGCTTTTCCTTGGTAGGCCATTCGTACTGGGGGACGCCATTCTTGTCAAAGTAGCAGATTGGCTGTTTGGTCTTGGCGGAGAGGGCGCTGAAGATGCTGGAACCGTCACGGACGCGGGCACCAAACAAGGAAGACTTTCTGGATTTCAGGAGGCTAGCGAATCGGCTGGAGGTTGAGCCTCCCAGAGAACGCCCCCCGACAGGGGGTCGATTCCACGCCAAGGTGACGGCGGTGAGGGACATGAGAACGCATAATGTCACAAGAACTCTCTGGAAGAAATGAGAGACAGGGGTTGTCAGCAAATCGTAGAAACTGGATGATAATTGTTCATTGTCTATTGTGTATTAATGCTGTTGAATTTACAACTTCTACAACTACTACTGTTACTACTGGTGCAACTGCTGCAACTATTATTACTACACTCAATATTGCATACAGCTGCGAACGGCGCTTAAAACAACTGTTAGATAGGATATATACATCATTTAAACTACTCTGCACATAAATAAACTGTATATCAAGACATTAGCATCGTACACAGTTAGCAAAATATTCTACTTACCATATTTACAAACAAAGGACCAATCTATGTTAAAATAGTTACTGTAGCTGTGTACAGCGATGGCTGACTTGCTGGGGCCTTTCGCTCGCTTTTATTCCCTCTCGATTCGGAAGGAGGAGCACATTTCAGCCAATCAGAAGTGGCGTTTTTGATTGAATGACCCTGACGTCACGCGGCAACACTTCTTCCTGAAAACAATGGCGGCAGTGGATGACGTGCCTACGTCACAGATCATAACAAGGAGATTTAAAGATAACAACCTCTCTCTTATACATTCACGGTGTTCCAATGCCACTTAAGCCTCTTGCCCATCAATCAGAATGACAGAGTGAGAGAACATGACAATATATACATACATACAGATGACGCCAGTTATAATTAGATACATATAAATGACGACAGTTGTGACAAGATTGACGTTGTACAATAATTTATTAAGAGATAAAAAATTGACGTCACAGAATTTGAAGGACAACTGTCACGTGACAAGAGAGACAGGGTACGAGTCGAGAGTATATAAGGAGACACTGGCCCAGTCTGAGCCAGCGACTGTGAACACCTCACGAACCGAGCTTCACACATCATCCTACCATGGGAAAGGTATATATCTATATCTTATTTATTTCTTAGAAATGGTTTATATGTTGAAATATATTTCAAAATGAATTGATTGAAAGCATTTAGCTGTGTATAAAGTTGCATATTGCTTATTGAAATGAATTTTTTCCACGAAAATGGTGTTCACAATACATTTTGGTATTTTTAATGTGTGCACTTCGACCGTTACGTTAATGGTAGCATTTTCCTTTTAGTGGTGCTATTGTTACAAACACATATTTAGGTATATCTTCAAAGCTAATGTTCCGTAGGTAGTAATACTCAATATTTAAGATTTTTGTTCAACTGTGCCGTTTATTCTAGAACCTTATGGATCATAAAAACACCAGAGAAATTGAATTGTTCTTTCATTACCCCTTTATACTCAAACATAACCAATTACAAGATGTGATCTTTGTTTTCCAGTTCACCTACTATATCGCGGCGTTAGTCGGCCTCGTCTCCATGACGACGGCCCTCCCCCATCTCCCCGCTCCCGCCTGCTATTCCCAGCAACTTCTGTCGGACCAGAGCTTTGACCTCAGCTTTGTCTGCAACGACGGAAGACAATATCCCGAGTAAGTACATTTAGCTACTTCGGAAACAATGTACAGGGCAGGTTGTTTGTGTTTCGTTTGAAAAGTCTTCTTAAGTTTGCCGTTTGCTGTATGAATTTTCACAAATATATAAAATCAAATTAAAATGAGTCATAAATGAATTGTATTTAAGTCGAACTGTCTTTGAATGACACACCATGTACCTTTAAGTCGAATTACCGACATGCGTTGATGTTATAAGAGTTTTTGCACCGTTAAGTCGAAATGTCTGACATATTCACTTTGGACTATATAACATGTACCTCTAAGTGGCATTACCGACATGCGTTGATGTACCGTTAGGTCGAACTGTCTGACATTTCACTTTGTCTCCAGACAGGAGATCGAGGAGGCTCTGTACTACGCCCACGACCACTGGCGTATCTACCTCAACCTGACATCCACCTGCTTCCAGGACCAGGACACCTACTTCACGAACAAACAGTAAGTAGCGCAGCACACTAGATCTACTTTGAAATAAAGCAACAAAACCCTCCCCATAATCGAACGAAATGTCTATTGTCCTTTGCACGATTAGGACAATATCATGAGCATGTGTTTCTGAATCAATATACAAAAAGTAATGATACCAGATGCTGGCGACACATTGAGCGTTTCCTGCACTTGTGGAACCCGTCACAAACATATGCAAGGACATCTCAATTGTTTACCTGAAAATATGCGAATATATTGTATTGATCAAAACAGGAAATTGCATCGATCGTCAATTTTTACCCCTTTAATCCGGACGCGTCGCTTCCAATGAAATCGCCCGGAATAACGATACTTGAGTTGGGAGTAATGTCTCACTGGTTGTATGTCATTCACAATAATAAAGTCCTGAAATCGGGGTTCCGGATTAACAGGGGTTCACTATCTATTATCAACGACGTTCTTATATATTTTCATCCTAGGGAGTGCTTTATGTTAAATATACTGAAGAAATGTAGATAGGAAACACATTAAAATATCTTAGAATAATGTTCATTGCTCTATTCAGTGAAATGCTTCAGATGAAAGAAAATAACCGTACTGTGTTAAATGTTGGTACCTGGTTATTTCGTTCATTACCGAATGATACCTGGTTTTCCTGGTATCCATACGACTTTTGACAATACCAAACACATACTTCCCTCAGTTTATTTGAGGCTTGACATATACAAATTAAAACTGGTATTTGTGAATGTTACTATATTCTACATATATTCTGGAATCGCTATCATTGACTTTGTCCTTGCAGCTCTGAGCCCAACTACTACAAGTTGAAGAGCGTGTGCAACACCACTCGTACCATGGTGCACACCATTTATGCCATGGACGGTCAAGTCTGCCACGTTGTCCGCCCTATGTCCCAGAAAGTCTTCTACGCCACATGCGGGTAGGTACACGGCTATGTTTTTAACAAGAAGTTCATTATATATACTAAAATTCATAACTAAGCAGTTGGTTATAATTAATATATTTTTAATGATATGTCAACGACGAAGGCTTGATTATACAAAACGCAGGCTCCTACGAAATCAAACAAATAAATGTTGGAGTAGTTTGACTGCATATTTATATTTTTGAAAAAGATTTTATATTTTAATATTCAAATGAAGCTCAAAAGGATAAAAAACCCTTGCATTCATTGTACACATTCATATATACATATTTATTGTCTATAAAGAAAGTTTAGCAGTTCAAATACTCATGTGAAATTAAGAATTATTAAAAGGACATTCATAGCAATCTACATATCGACACTCTAAGACTAATTATAAGACTTATCATTAAAATATTATTTATCCATTACATCTCGCTTTACTAAATATGCCCTGTTTGTTTTACAGAGGAGAATGTAACCTTGGTTACGACGGCGTGACCGGCTACCACTGCATTCAACGCGGCATCACCTACCGCAACTTCCTCGGTTACTGCCGTCTCCCCGACCCCGCAATCTTCCCAGAATCTGACCCCATCTACGCTCTTGACCCCTCCGTCGACAACTTCTACGACCCCCGTGTTGCCCCACCAACCCACCGCATGCAGCACAACCTCCTCCAGAGCGGGGGCCACTACAAACCCAAGGGCTACTTCACGGAGTTGAGCGTTACCCTCCCCAGCTACTGTGGCTGCAGGGGATATTTCTGCCCCCACGACAGGATTCTTTAGATGATGACTACGTTCATAAAGGGACTGATACAATATGAACAAAGACCAATTGAAGCCAGTTGTTTTCCACAAGCATTATTTTTAAATAAGTGAAAACTATTTTTAAAGAACCAAACTCTTTCTGATTTTTAGAAGCCTTTTCAAGTAAATGGAAATTACAAATGTTATTTGGTTTACACTTCACTTTTTTCAAATCATTTCAGACTTACCTTTATTTTTTCCTCACTTTTATACCACAATGTGATATCGGTCTGAAGTTGGCAAATATGTTAATTGTAAATATTTTGCGAATTCCATGTAAATATTTACTATAGGATGTTGTGAATATGTATTTTATATGTTCCATCTTTGTACAGTATAAACTGACATCATCATTGCTTGTGCGCGCATGTATAATATGTACAGATATTAATATGTGAAAATAAAAGCAACATGAAAATATATACAGTTTCTGTTTTGATGATTATTGTTTAGTTTGGACAATATACACTGTAAATGTATTTCAGTAATATATAAAATATATATTTATCATATAATGGGTAGGTTTCTTAGCAGGATAAAGCCAACGGATAAAAACGATATCCGTTGGGGTCATATGCGGAAAGAGATGCAAATATCAAAGGTCAAGTGGGGACTACTTTCAGTGTTTATAAACAAACATGGCGTTGCCCTTGTCATTCGGCAACCGAGTCAGAATTAATCATCGGGAATCTGGATAAACTACATAGATAATTTCTATAATTATCAAAAGAACAGTCTAATATACTTAAAATCAGTGTCTAGCTGTGACGCAGTAAGGCATTTTATAAGTTTTGGCAACTTTGGAGATATAAATTTCGAAACAATTTTGCGAGGGCACTAGGCCTAGCCAAGCGGTATCAGTAGCCATATCTGTGCTTGTTGACCTCTGCGGCTTGAAACCTTTTCCACAAATAAAAATAGTTGGATTTGGCAGAAATATATTTGAATTGTTACCTTGTTTCGTTTGGTCGCTGTGTGTACATCTGATTGCATTTTTTAACGTTATGACAGGACAGGACTAGTTACTCTAGCGGACAGACCGATGGATTGCCGCGAAATGCAAGTGAATAACAATTGTTGTTTTGCGTATATGTTGCTTCGCCACTCTATAAAAAACAGATTTCAGTTGGAACTATATTGGCTACTGTCACTGTCCGACTGACACATCACTTACCCTGTGACGTAATAAATATTAATGCGCGCTTTCCAGGAAAATTCGCAATGTTTAGGTTATGTTTGTGAGAGAGTGAAAGCGATTTTCAAGTACAGATTAAAGAATGACATTTTATGATAAAGAGGTTATCACGCTTGTGTGTTTGGGGATGGTAAACATCCTGTATTAGGAATAAACACTATGTATTCCTAATGAAGGATATTTACCTTCCCCAAACACACTCGCGTGATATTAATTAATTATATATATATATATATATATATATATATATATGTGTGTGTGTGTGTGTGTGTGTGTGTGTGTGTGTGTGTGTGTGTGTGTGTGTGTGTGTGTGTGTGTGTGTGTGTGTGTGTGTGTGTGTGTGTGTTATCACACGAGTGTGTTTGGGGATGGTATATATATTTATATATATATAATTTATATATAACTGAAATATAAATTATATATAACTGAAATACACCAATACACCAATATTTATACTGAAATATCTAATTATATATATATATATATATATGTGTGTGTATGTGTATATATATATATATATATATATATATATATATATATATATATATATAAATTATATATAACTGAAATACACCAATAGTCCTAAATAGGTCCATTATATTGGTGCTGTCAAGATAACATTTTTCTTCTTTTTGTTATGACATAAACCGCACGAGAGGTTGTGGTTGTCGAGGTTGTGGTCGACAGTGTGAAAAGTCCTTCACGTCGCATGCAGCTGAGCGAGGGTCTGCAAGTTCATGACTAAACCAAAACCATCCCCTTCCAAACATTGTATCCATCAAATTCACAATTAACTGTTTGATTGATTCTATAAGTTGGCAAATAAATAAGAAAACCATACAACTTTATGGATAACAACTTTTGGTTTATTGCATATAGCGACGTTTCGATGTAGATTCTTACACCGTTACCAAGCTGGAGTGACAACGACCAAGCGATCAAATTTACAATTGTGTGCATGAGGTTAACGTTGTTTCTGTAATGTAACAACGAATTCGAATCACCTTAATATTGGAGGAAATCCCCAAAGTAGCTGAGTGATAACTGTTGCCAGTTCAGTGAACCCAAACCAACGAGACGTTGACAGACAAGAGCACACATGAATTCATAAGCTGCTAACACTCTTCACTGTATAAGCTGCTTTTAATTTGGTGCTCCTGTGCGACTGATTAGGTTGTCAGTACCTAATGCTTGCAGTGCCTGCAGAGTAAAACAAGAAGTGAGAGGTCGGGACTGGTGACTTGGCTCAACGCTCCCGACAGTGTAGATCGTTGGTCAAAAAAAAAAATGCTTTCAATCACTGGTTGGCCCATTCCAGTCTCGATTATTAACAGGTCGCGCTGTATAGCTGAAATAATGCTGACTGATTCACGCACTTACCTAATAAAACGAAGTAAGTGTATCTGATAAGTAAGGCGAAGCTGACGTGTTCACTGTACGTAAAACAAGTATGGTTCTTAATATCTTTCTGCGAATTTGAAAAACTAAAGAATTGATAACATGATATGGATCCCTTTAACACGTTCCTTCATGTCGTGAGTGAGCTGGGTTTATATAACTTTTTCAATAGTATTTTCAAAAGCGACGGCACCTTTTCCATTACCATAAGAAATTGATGCTAAAAGCAGAGTCCATTGTACGATTCGAGCTATATCATAAGCATGTGTTTATGAATCACAATCAAACAGTGATGAAACCTAAATTTACAGCAAAAACTTACTTCTTAAACATAATAATTTTAATGAAGAGTTCTGTTTGCTTTATGTAAAAAATACACGGGACCCTATACATTCGAATAAATTGCTTGTTTTGCGAGATACATTTTATCAAGATTTTGACAGATACAGAACGCGATTTCCATTGAGGCTTATTTAAGCGATGTGTTAATCTAGGTCTTCCAGCCCTAAAGTGTCACCCAGGGATTGTCGTTAAGTGAAACCCACGGCCACAGCTATGATGTTGGCTATCCAGTCTTAGATTCGAACCCACGACGACCGGTAACTGAGCAACAGAGGACCGCAACCAGACAAAGTAGGATGGGAGCCATATATGAGTTGTGGCAATTCAAGTGATAAAGTACCACCGTTTCAATACTTGTTACAAGAGCTTTAGCCATAGTCTTAAAGAGGTCATAACATTATCATAAAGATAAGTCGTGCCGAGAAGGTTCAGATAAATGCTGTAAAAATACCACCATTTGCAATAAATATATTTTGATTGCTCATACTGTCGACAACTATCATCTCATCTTGACGGAAGTCAATGCATCACCTCAAAACAGCTCATATATTGTGTAATATAACACCATCTAAAACGGTAGCCTACATATTAGAGACACAATAATGATCTCAAACAAACAGAAATATCTGCCTCAGGTGATTAACTCTCACATTGACTGATGTGGATACTCTCAATAATAATAATAGCACAAAGACAATGATCATTTCCTGACATGTTTTGACATTTTAGGGTTGTTTGATTGATCAGATGCATTATCATTACACCGTGTTCGCTGAAATATATACATGCAGTGACTCACTTTGGATGAATCATAGTACAGAAGGGTTAGGGAGATTGAACTGTAGGAAAAACAAATGCGAAACGTGCTCGATAACGAAATCAGGGACAAAACTGTTGTGCGTAAACAATTGGAAATAATAACTGATGTATATTTATTGGAAAAATTACTCTACATCCAGGCTGAAAATATTTTTCTGTTTGTAAGAGAGGCAATGCATTGCTTACAGATGTTCTGAAATTGTCATTGATGATGGCTATGTTTTGGCTGTGTAGGATATTTTGAGGCGGAATCTAACGGCGATATTGTCATTAATGATGGTTATGTTTTAGCTGTGTGGGATATTTTGTGGCGAAATCTAACGGCGATATTGCCATTGATGATTGCTATGTTTAAGCTGTGTGGGGTATTTTGTGGCGGAGTCTAACGGCGATATTGCCATTGATGGTGGCCATTGATGATGGTTATGTTTTGGCTGTGTTGAGTATTTTGTGGCGGAATTTAACGGCGATATTGCCATTGATGATTGCTATGTTTTAGCTGTGTGGAATATTTTGTGTCGGAATCTAACGGCTATATTGTCATTGATGATGGCCATTGATGATGGTTATGTTTTGGCTGTGTGGGATATTTTAAGGTGGAAACTAAAGGCGATATTGTCATTGATGATGGTTATGTTTTAGCTGTGTGGGATATTTTGTGGCGGAAAATAACGACGATATTGTCATTGATGATGGCCATTGATGATGGTTATGTTTTGGCTGTGTGGGATATTTTGCGGCGGAATCTAACGGCGATATTGCCATTGATGATTGCTATGTTTTAGCTGTGTTGGATATTTTGTGGCGGAAACTAACGGCGATATTGTCATTGATGATGGCCATTGATGATGGTTATGTTTTGGCTGTGTTGAGTATTTTGTGGCGGAATTTAACGGCGATATTGCCATTGATGATGGCCATTGATGATGGTTATGTTTTGGCTGTGTTGAGTATCTTGTGGCGGGATCTAACGGCGATATTGCCATTGATGATTGCTATGTTTTAGCTGTGTGGGATATTTTGTGTCGGAATCTAACGGCTATATTGTCATTGATGATGGCCATTGATGATGGTTATGTTTTGGCTGTGTGGGATATTTTGTGGTGGAAACTAAAGGCGAGATTGTCATTGATGATGGTTATGTTTTAGCTGTGTGGGATATTGTTTGCGGAAAATAACGACGATATTGTCATTGATGATGGCCATTGATGATGGTTATGTTTTGGCTGTGTGGGATATTTTGTGGCGGAATCTAACGGCGATATTGTCATTGATGATTGCTATGTTTTAGCTGTGTGGGATATTTTGTGGCGGAAACTAACGGCGATATTGTCATTGATGATGGCCATTGATGATGGTTATGTTTTGGCTGTGTTGAGTATCTTGTGGCGGGATCTAACGGCGATATTGCCATTGATGATTGCTATGTTTTAGCTGTCTGGGATATTTTGTGTCGGAATCTAACGGCTATATTGTCATTGATGATGGCCATTGATGATGGTTATGTTTTGGCTGTGTAGGATATTTTGTGGCGGAATCTAATGGCGATATTGTCATTGATGATGGTTATGTTTTAGCTGTGTGGGATATTTTGTGGCGGAAACTAACGAAGATATTGTCAGTGATGATGGCCATTGATGATGGTTATGTTTTAGCTATGTGGGATATTTTGTGGCGGAATCTAACGGCGATATTGCCATTGATGATGAGTATTATTCAAAGTTATATTACCATCGTTGAAGTTCATTGCTCGAGGTGTCCTGATATTATCTGTGATGGTGGCTATTTTTTTACTTTGCCGGGTATTTTCGCGGGAAACTAAAGAACAATTAGCTCCATAGTATGCTGCCCATACGGAAGGTAACTGATATTGTCTCAGTGTAATGACAGCATTCGCAGATGGGTATTGCTTGAATGCCGTTTGGCCCAAGCACACGCACACGCACACGCACACGCACACGCACACGCACACACACACACACACACACGTAACTATATAAGTGAAATAATCTTGAAGGCGACGTTGAACCCAATTTCACCTCATCTCACCTCACTCCACTTCTCGTCAGTAATAGGCAAACTACAAGTTTTATTCAGTTGTGTTTTATTATCTGTAAATTATTCACGGTAAACATCACCAAAAAATCTGAAAAGTATTATTCATAGTGATTTTATGTGTTTCACAAAGTTGGCATCAGATAATGGTAACAAATATGTTGCGAACTCCACAGATAAATATACACGTTATGTACAGAGTAAACAAACAACTTACACGTGCGCGCATGATATATGTACAGATGATAACATATAATGGTAAAACAGATTCCTCAAACTTAAGATCATTAAAAGTCTATTTACAAGTCGAAATATACCTGTCATATTGAGAAATTTTTATGAAGAACATAAAATCTGTTACAAACATTTTCCGGCCTGTTCAATTATGTTCGTAACATTTACGTATTCGTAAACATGTCGTAAGAGATCTCTGTTTGTGTATACATATCTGTATTTGGCATGACGTAGAGTCCTTGCAATTACGCCACTATTACACATGCGTAAAAGTACGACTTCGCAGAGGGAGTGTAAACCATGGTTTACACAAACTGATACTTGAGACATTCGTATTTCTTACAGCTGCATCCGGTGGGGATGGTGACGCGGGTTCTGCGGCACTGCTTGATCTCGCCGGGACAGAAGACGTAGATATCACGTTCAACCATGCCGTCGGGGACGCAGTAGTGGTGTTTCACCTCCGTGGTGTCCATGACGCAGTGACCTCTAGAGAAAAGAGATGATGGTGAATATTGTGTCATAATACTTTTTTGTACAAGCCTCAAATGTAATACCGACGTGTACATTATAAAAAGACCTTTTAACATTTTGAATTGTGCGACTCAGAATCAGACCAAACTAAAATTGAAGACGTATGTTGCGCATATTGTTTATTTATACCTCTTATTCCCAAAATTAGAAACATAAGACCAATGTTACTTACAAACCCCAAACCACCATGAACTTGAAGGAAATCGTTTATAATGAATACTAGCATATGAAAGCTGGACATGTTTGGTCAAGCTAATTGTGTGACGTACCCGCATTGAGCGACTTCAATTCCCTGGGCTTCAGGCATGATGACGTAGCAGACCTCTCGGCGCCCGTTCGCGGTGTTGGTCCACCAGATTCTCTCCAGGAGCTCGGTGTTCTCGGAACACAGATCCTTGTATCGGTAGGCGGGGTAGTGGCTGGAATATACCACAAACATGGTTCAAACAGCTGTAGTAGGAACATAATAGTATGTACGTCTTCAATAAACGGCTGGATAGATCACATGACATGACGCCGCGTTTCATTAATAGTCAAACTCACGGTGGGGTGAACCAGATATAGGATTGACACAGTCGAACTCGGTTTCTCGGAGTGAGCGAACCTTTATCCACTAGGCCACTCCATCGCCCTTTATACAATTGATCATTTAGAGATGACATCACACATTCTGATTTTTCATCATATAAACATATAATGATAGTATCGTGCCATAGTACACAAGGTAAAAGGCTGTTTTACAAAGGTAAATTGAATATATTTATGCAACAATGACAGCTGTTAGTGTAACACAGGTGATGGTACCTTAGTGATTTGATGGTCGTTATTGCTTCGACTCCAGATCAAAATAACGAAGACATAGTAACAATTTACTACTGTGGCGAAAGCCAAGGGTAACCGCCTAGTATAAGAGTGTGTGAGTTGGGTTTAACGCCGCTTTGAACAGTATTTCAGATATAGTGCGAGGGGACAGCTTAATATGGAAGGGTAGCTCGAAGTGACGATGAAACGGGTGATGACTAGTATCATCTGTACCTACCCGGTGGAGTTCATCTTGTTGTGGAGGTAGCATCCCTGCACCAGCAGCATGTACTCCATTGCGTCGGGGTCATTTTCCAGGGCACTGAACACACGGTCACTGGAACAACCACGTTAACATCAGTGTCAGCCTTCTCATACACTATGGTGTATAGACAACAGTAGAACTTACAGTGTGAACACACGGTCACTGGAACAACGTATCTTTGCAATTTCCCAACATGGCATCTTGAAATATTGAAATACGGGGATCTTACCCGACCCTTACAGATATGACAAGCGATGATATTTACAACTTGACTGTGCCGCCTGACTGCCTGGACTAATTTAACAGCATAAATTAAAATACTAAAGCATATTTTGGAAATAGTATGAAGACAATTTGCCAAAACGAAGAGAAGAAAGAATTATGATATATGTATACATATGCATTTTAATAAAAACAACAACACCAGACCATGTGTTTAAATAAAATACATACACAGGGTACTTGTAGGACTTGTCGAAGCACAGCTTTTCCTTGGTAGGCCATTCGTACTGGGGGACGCCATTCCTGTCAAAGTAACAGATTGGCTGTTTGGTCTTGGCGGAGAGGGCGCTGAAGATGCTGGAACCGTCACGGACGCGGGCACCAAACAAGGACGACTTTCTGGATTTCAGAAGGCTAGCGAATCGGCTGGAGGTTGATCCTCCCAGAGAACGCCCTCCGACAGGGGGTCGATTCCACGCCAAGGTGACGGCGGTGAGGGACATGAGAACGCATAATGTCACAAGAACTCTCTGGAAGAAATGAGAGACAGGGATTTTCATAAAATTAGAAAACCTAGTTGTTAATTATTATTTTTTGTTTCGTTTTATGATTTGGAATATGTCAAAACTATTGATATACGATTACAGCTGATACTACTACTACTACTACTACTACTACTACTACTACTACTGTTGCTGCTCCTACTACTACAACTACGAGCAGTACTGCTGCTATCACTCCTACTCATTCTGCTACTATTACCACAACTACTACTACTGCTACTACTACTACTACTACTACTACTACTACTACTACTACTATTACTGCCACTACTACTACTACTACTGCTACTACTACTACTACTACTACGACGACGACGACTACTGACGTTTCTACTACAACCACTGCTACTTCCAATATTTTAGGCAACAGCTGCAAACGATGTTTACAATTCAACTACAAGATAATATTAGATAGAATATCTGTTAAAATACTGAGACCTTAATAAACTGCTTTGCAAGACATTACAATCGTACACAGTTTGCAAAATATTCTACTTACCATATTTACAAACAAAGGACCAATCTATGTTAAAATAGTTACTGTAGCTGTGTACAGCGATGGCTGACTTGCGGGGAGCTTAAGCTCGCTTTTATTCCCTCTCGATTCGGAAGGAGGAGCATATTTCAGCCAATCAAAAGTGGCGTTTTTGATTGAATGCCTTTGACGTCACGCGGCAACACTTCTTACTGAAAACAATGGCGGCAGTGGATGACGTATCTACAACTGTCACGTGAAAAGAGGGCAGGGTACGAGTCGAGAGTATATAAGGAGACACTGGCCCAGTCTGAGCCAGCGACTGTGAACACCTCAAGAACTGAGCTTCACACATCATCCTACCATGGGAAAGGTATATATCTATATCTGATTTATTTCTTAGTAACGGCTTATACCTTGAAACATATTTTAGACTCAACTTATTGCGAGCATCCATCTTTGTGTAAATTTGCTGGCGCCGAATATTGTCAGCTTTATTATATTCTTAATGTGTGAGACTGTTAAGGTAAAGATATCATTTTATCATTTTAGAAACAAGTGGCGCTATCCCTTTTCACTGTATATATAAATATATAAATATATGATTATAAGAAGTACTCTTTGCGTTTCAGTTTATATACAACATCGCGGCGTTAGTCGGCCTCGTCGCCATGACGACGGCCCTCCCCCCTCTCCCCACTCCCGCCTGCTATTCCCAGCAACTTCTGTCGGACCAGAGCTTTGACCTCAGCTTTGTCTGCAACGACGGAAGACAATATCCCGAGTAAGTACATTTAGCTAGTTAGGAAACAATGGACAGGGCAGGTTGTTTACTGTTTGCTGTACGAATTTTCACAAATATATAAAATCAAATTATATTTACGTAAAGTCGAACTGTCTGATATATTCACACATCATTACACATCATGTACCTTTAAGTCGAATCACCGACATGCGTTTATGTTATAAGAGTTTTTGCACCGTTAAGTCGAAATGTTTATATAACATGTACCTCTAAGTGGCATTACCGACATGCGTTGATGTACCGTTAAGTCGAACTGTCTGACATTTCACTTGGTCTCCAGACAGGAGATCGAGGAGGCTCTGTACTACGCCGACGACCACTGGCGTATCTACCTCAACCTGACATCCACCTGCTTCCAGGACCAGGACACCTACTTCATGAACAAACAGTAAGTAGCGCATTACAACGACCAGATAACGTTTGAGATAAAAACAAACTACTTATCATGAGCATGTGTTTATGAATCAATATTTAAAAAATGATGGTACGAGATGTTCGCGAAATATTGAGCTTATCCTGCCCTATCGGTGCCACCCCTCACAAACACATGCAAAGGCAACTCAGTTGTTCAAACCTGAGAGCATATGGTACAATATCGTTAATCCGGACACGTCGCTTCCAATGAAATCGTCCGGTTAATGTATGTCCGGAAGAACGATATATGAGTTGGAAGTAATGTGATTCTGGTTGTAAGAAGTCATTAACAAAACTTGAGCCCGGAAAACGGGCTTCCGAAATAACAGGTGTTCACTATCTACTTTCAATGACTACATCTTTTATCATGTGGCGTGAAATATTGAGCCTATTTAGAAAGGGAGCACATACAAATATTGTAGAATAATGTTCATTCCTCTATTCAGAGAAATGCTTCATGTAAACAAAATAACGTTACAGTATATCTTTTTATGTATATTTGAGGCCATGACTGATATCAGTGAATTGCTGCAATTTGTGAATAAAACCATTATTTACATATATTCGTGAAACGTTATTATTGACCTTGACCTTGCAGCTCTGAGCCCAACTACTACAAGTTGAAGAGCGTGTGCAACACCACTCGTACCATGGTGCACACCATCTATGCCATGGACGGTCAAGTCTGCCACGTTGTCCGCCCTATGTCCCAGAAAGTCTTCTACGCCACATGCGGGTAGGTACACGGCTATGTTTTTTAGATCGTTCATATTTGTTACAAAATTCATACACTAAAGTATACAGACGCTACGACATTAAACAAATAATTGTCGGAGTAGTTTATATATTTTTAACTTTCCAAGGGAACTCAAAGGTAACAAAAAAACCTGCCTTTATTGTGCCCATGCATTATTTATATATAAATAAAATACTAATGTCAGAGGTTATTAACACGGCAATAATATCAAGCTACACGTCGACACTTTAAGACTTCTAAAAATTATTTTTTAACCTCTCCGCTACTACTTGCATTACTAAATATGTCCTATTTGTTTTACAGAGGAGAATGTAACCTTGGTTACGACGGCGTGACCGGCTACCACTGCATTCAACGCGGCATCACCTACCGCAACTTCCTCGGTTACTGCCGTCTCCCCGACTCCGCAACCTTCCCAGAATCTTCCCCCATCTACGCTCTTGACCCCTCCGTCGACAACTTCTACGACCCCCGTGTTGCCCCACCCACCCACCGCATGCAGCACAACCTCCTCAAGAGCGGGGGCCACTACAAACCCAAGGGCTACTTCACGGAGTTGAGCGTTACCCTCCCAAGCTACTGCGGCTGCAGGGGATATTTCTGCCCCCACGACAGGATTCTTTAGATGATGGCTACGTTCATTAAGGGCCTAATACAATATGAACAGGGACCAATCCAAAACATTTTTTTCTACAAGCATTTCATTTAAGTAAGTTAAGACCATTTTGAAAATAACCAAAACGCCTTTTGAATTTTAAAACTCTTTCAAGTAAAGCGGAATTGCAGGGGTCCTTTGCATACAGGTGATCCTTTTTCAAATCATGCTTCTGTCATTCTAATATTCATATTTTCCGCACTTTTATACCACAATGTAATCTCGGTCTGAAGTTAGCAAATATGTTAATTGTAAATATTTTGCGAATTCCATGTAAATATGTACTATAGGATGTTGTGAATATGTATTTATATGTTCCATCTTTGTACAGTATAAACTGACATCATCATTGCTTGTGCGCGCATGTATAATATGTACAGATATTAATATGTGAAAATAAAAGCAACATGAAAATATGAATTGTTTCTGTTTTGATGATAATTACTTATTTTGGCCAATGAAAACAGAGCAATTATAGATGGTGACTCGCATTGTTCATATGCAAATCTACAACTGAAATACACCAATGATCATATAATAGGTCCAATATAATAGTGCTTTGAGATTTACATGTTTCTTGTTTTCGTTCTGAAACATATGTGCTCGTGAACAATCAAACCTGTGGTCGACAGTGTGAAAACCTCTTCACATCGCTTGTCTACAAGGTCATGACTAAACCAAGACCATCCCTTGCTGGACACCGTGTCCATCCAGTTCACACTTTACTGAGTGAACGCCGCTTTGAACATTATTTCAGTCATAAGACAACGCATCAGCTTGATATTGCAGCCCCAAAGTAGCAGGTAAATGACTTTTACCACTTTAAGGAAACCATCGTCGAACCAACGACCAGAGGCAACAAAGTGGCGAAACCGATCGAAGTGGGATTGGAACAGGATATTTCCATGTACATATATACACTTTGGCAATACAAGGGATATTACCACTGTTTTAATATTTGTTACAAGAGCTTCTGACATAGTCTTCAAAGAAGACAGTACGGCGGTGATCAAAACGTCATAAATGTCATTCGTGTCGAGAATGTGCCGGTAAATGCTTCTATAAAAATACAGCCATTTTTTAATAAATATATGTTGATTGAGACGACTATAATGACTCATCTTGACGGAAGTAAAGGCATCACCTCAAAACAGCTCATATATTATGTGATCTAAAACGGTAACCTATAGTTTGGGGGACATTTTGTACGGATTAGAGAGACACACACAATGATCCAAAACAAACCGAAATATCTGCCCCAGGTGATAAACTCTCACATTGACTGATATGAATACCGTCATCAATTATAACACATAGAAAATGATAATTTTCTGACATGTTTGACATTTTTAGGTTGTTTGATTAATCAGATGTATATATTACATCGTTGTCACGTTTTCAGGATCCACAGACAGTGCCCCACATTGGATGTCGTCATATATGGAGCGGTACAGTACACAAAGGTAGGGAACAATGAATCGCAGGGAACAATAGATGCCAAACGTGTCAGATGAGAACTGGTAGGCAAAAACCAATCTGAAATAGTATTTGATGTATAATTATTGGCACACTCACATTTCATTCAAGATGAAAACACTTTTCTTTTTGTTTGGGGAGGCAATGTATTCAATGGTCATTGCTCGAAGATGTTCTGAAATTGTCATTGATGATGGCTATGTTTTAGCTGTATGGGATATTTTGTGGCGGAAACTAACGAAGATATTGTTATTGAATGTTCAATGTTCAATGTGATTTTGCCAATGATGATGAGTATTATTCACAGTTATATTACCATTGTTGAAGTCCATTGTTGGAGGTGTCCTGATACTATCTGCGATGATGGGTCTGTTTAAACTGTGTCGTGTATTTTGGGGCGGAACTAACAATGCTCGACTCGATGCCCATCGCCTGCTGTTCATGTTCAATGTTACTAATAGCAAAAATGTTTTGTTTGTTTGTTGTTTATCGCCGCACTCAGCATCATTCCAGCTATATGACGGCGGTCTGTAAATAATCGAGTCTGGACAAGACAATCCAGTGATTAATTTCATGAGCATCGATCCACGCAATTGGGATCGATGACATGCATCAACCAAGACAGCGAGCCTGACCACCCGATCCCGTTAGTCGCCTTTTACGACAAGCATAGTCACCTTTTTACGGCAAGCATGGGTTGCTGTAGACTTATTCTGCCCAGGAATCTTCACGGGTCAGGAAAAATTGACATTGAGACATTGTCTTCGTGTAATTAGAGTAAGTATGTTTAACTGGACTGAACATTTTCAGATGGGTATTGCTAGAATGCCATTTCGCCCAGGCATATACTCCAGGTTACGTTGAGCGCACTATCGATATATCGCTATACACTGTGATATCCTATAGGAATTGACAGTCAAGCATATTTACAAACACATTCGTGTGCTTTGAAATGAACTGTGTCATTATATGTTCTCCAATGTCAACTA